CTCTATTATCATCATTATCAAATGTAAAAAGTCCATCACATCGTATAACAGTTGATGATCTTCATCAATCTTCATTTCAAAGTTTAACAACAACAAATGTTGAATATCGTTTACAATATTCTTCAAATAATCAAAATCTAAATAATTCAACAGTAATAAAATTAACTCAAAATCGTCGAGAATCAGATTTTGATGTTACAAATAAAGAACAACAACAAACAGCACTGCGAATTAAAATTCCTACGACAGTATGTACCATCTACAATCCAAAGTTTTATAATCCCGAACAGCACCGTATGTGTGAAACCGGCCTATCAGTACTGAATAATGTTTTCATTACAGGATCAATTAAAGTATAGATAAACCGATATAATACAACTTTTGATTTCTATTCTTTTTCAGCGTGTCATTCCTGTTATTGATCTTAAAACAATCTTTAATGATTCCAATGATTATGCAAATCACATTGAACGTGACGTTCAAGGTGGATCAACAATTGTTGAAAATATTCTTTACCTTGTTGATCACCATCGTTTCGATGAAAATATTTGTTCTACTAGGTTGAGCAAAAAGTTCGCGATCATTTGCAAAAAAATTCTTTTTTATGCATAAATTTATTCAAAATCAATAACAATTATTCTTCAAAGTACAACCTATCATCCTCAATGACCTTACGCCAGCGTTCTGAAAGTTGTCGAATCTGATCTTGATACCGCCAGTGCGGCTCCTTGGACTCAAAGAATTTACGGCACGCTGCTTCGACTTGATCAAAAGTTTCAAATCGTTGTCCTCGCAAAAAGTGCTCCATTGAACGAAACAAACCATAATCAGAAGGAGCAAGGTCGGGACTGTAAGCTGGATGCGGTAGAACCTCTACATCATCGAGTTCATCAAGCTTCTCATTGGTCAAATTGGCACGATGAGCTGGAGCATTGTCGTGTTGGAGAAGGGCACGTTTTTGGCGCATCAACGTCGGGTAGCGCTGCTTCAAGACGTTGTAGATGTGCTCCAACTGCTCGCTGTACAGCTCGGTATTCACGGCTCGACCATCAGGGACCAATTCAAAGTGACGTTGGTAAAGTTAGCACCATATTCGTCTTTATCTATCCGGATTCGCGATATTACTTGGGTTAGCTCTAAAACAACTTGGGTTAGATGCAGAATTTAATTCTGCGTCCAATGGTGCCAGTTTTAAGC